CCAGCACCATACCCGTGCTCGTGGGTTTCACCGAAGTGGTAAACGTCTGAGACCTGCATCACTTCGGGCTTTCCTCCCACATTAAGCTGACACGCCGCGTTATGACTGGAATACTGTTAAAAGCGGTGTTAAACCCAACTCACTCACTCACTCAAATATAACTAATGTACAGTTCAAATCTACGTTGTTCATGCTCATGCTACAAACCACTTGTTTGCCTCCCTGAACTAGATTAAGGAAACCCACATCCTAAAGTATTTTGTTTTCGGATATGTCAAACTTTAAGGTGTGTTTCTTTTGCAAGTGAGTAAATAATTTTCCCTACAGCGGCGTAAAACAACATTAATCATCCCAAACTGGCTCCCACAGGAGATATCGCTTTGGTGAGATCAAGCGATATCTACACTGTAGATATCGCTGCAATGAAATTGCATCTCAATGTTTTGAAGACCATTGTGACGTCATTGGTTACCATGACGTCACAATCAAATGACATCACTAATGGCTCTGCTACTGAAGCTGTTAGCAGTACTTTTTACACTTAAGACACTGCTTATTACTGTGTACAAACGGAAAAAGTTGGAAGAATGATGTTGGATGATAAATAGAATCTCACCCTCGTGTCTTTTGATATCAAATATATCAACACTCGTTGATAAAAGTGGAAAAAATCCTCGGCGAGCCTCGGAGTTTTCCCACTTTTATCAACTCGTGTTGATATATGCGATATCAAGAGACACTCTCGTTAGATTCTCTATTTCACAAATACTCCAAGTACATAAAAATAATTCACAGAAATACAAATAGCATTTCATGCTAAAGGATGTGTGTTTCTTTTGAATGTGAGTACATAATATTCCCGACAGCGGCGTAAAAACAGCATTTCACACAATACCCCAATTATATACGAGTAATTCACAGAAATACAGGCATCATTCATGTTTCGCCTCCCATCTACCCCACTGAGCCATGTATACATGTATGTAAAATAGAACCAGCCCCAGAAGCCTCGTTCAGCAGTCGGTGGTTCCTAGCATAACGCAGATAGGTTTACCCTAGGCCATGGCCAATAGGCCAGGCGCGAGGCAAATCACCACAAATCCCTCCAAGGACTGTGAGGGTGTCTTTGAAGTTCTCTACTGTTCCTACGCGAGAGAGAGCTGCACGCGAAGACGAACAAATCTGTACAGGGGTATCGAAAGTTAGTCCTTCATTGCTTGCTTCATTTAATCCGATCTATTTTAAGCGACATCAGAAACCAGGATGTTCGCGTTGCTGGCTCCCATGGAGATGTGCTTCAGTCATTATCTCATTACAATAACGTTATTTCAGGTAGCGAGCTGTAGCTTACTGAGTTTCATCAAAATGGACTTTACTGTAATCTGGTATTGTAATCACTGAACATGAGAAAGTGGCACAAGTTTTCCCCTCCCTTACGGTTTCGGGGCCATCCATGCACAATTAAACTGATCATCTGATATGGCTCAGAAAAAGGTTATCTCAAAGAATTAAGTTATTAACGAGTCGGTGTAAGTGGAAAACCGGCTTCGGTGTGGGATTGGTCTTCAGCAAGGCTTCAAGGGTGTACCGATGTTGTGGCATGTTCTCTTCCTAACGAGTCCCACCGCTAGGGAGTGGGGCTAACACAAGACTGGCCACAGTCTATTTATGATTGGTTTGGTTGGTTGGTTTGTTGTTTAACGCCACACTCAGCAATATTCCAGCTATATGACGGCGGTCTGTAAATAATGGAGTCTGGACCAGACAATTCAGTGATTAATATCATGAGCATCGATCCACGCAATTGGGATCGATTACATGCATCAACCAAGTCAGCGAGCCTGACCACCCGATCCCGTTAGTCGCCTTTTACGACAAGCATAGTCGCCTTTTACGGCAAGCATGGGTTGCTGAAGACCTATTCTACCCCGTATCTTCACGGGTCGTCTATTTATGAAATAAACGACGTCGTATAAGATAGCTACTCGATAAATCGCAAAGAACAATGAAGAACGAAGTGTGGTTTATTTCACGATAAAACATTGTTCTATCACGACGTCATTTCGTCATCATGACGAACATGCGCTCGCAACTTGATGACGTACGTTATTTTTGAGAGGAGAGTGTCTAGTGAGTTGTTCCCCATAGATATATCTGGGCAACGTAGATAAACGCAATGGCCGGGCGATTGTGTCCCACAGTGGGAGAGATATGACAATGGGTATTGGAGAAAAGGTACAGATAATCGACGTGCAATTTATGACAATATGCGGGAAAGAAATTAACGCCCCTGTTCATAAAATGGATTTGTCCGACATTGCCGAGGTTGTATTCTATTCAGGGAGTGATCATTATGTAAATACAGGTACATATTTTAAGGCTTGTACGTTTGATGACCAAAATAACAACATCCGAAAGAGGCTGTGCCTCGTTGTTTATTCTCCGCTTCAGTGTTTTATTGTACAATAAACAACACCCACTCATCGTTTATTTCTTAAATAGTCAGTGAGTTTGGTTTTCCGCCGCTTTTAGCAATATTCCAGCAATATCACGGCGGGGAACACCAGAAATAGGCTTTACACATTGTACCCATGTCAGGAATCGAACCCGGGTCTTCGGCGTGACGAGCGAACGCTTTGAGCACTTGGCTACCCGACAGGCCCTATTTAAAAGTATTGCTAAAGGCGGCGTTACACCATACCCACTCACTCTCTTTACTTGTGTGTTCCAAAGGCCTACATACCTACATACCTACAAGACCCGTGAAGATGTGTGTTAGAAAAGGTCTTCATCAACCCAAGCGACAAGACTGTTATTGTCGTGAGAGGTGACTAACGGGATCGGGTGGACAGGCTCGCTGACTTGTTTGATGCATGTCATCGTATCCCAGTTGCACGGATCGATGTTCATGATATCAATCACTGGATTGTCAGTTCCAGGCTCGATTATTTACACATCGCCGTCATACAGCTGGCATATTGAGAGGCGTTAAACAACAAACAAACAAACAATAAACACGCAATACAGCTCGTGCCCCCGATCCTATGACACGCCATGAGGGAAGTGAAACCACTTTTAAAAACACTCGCCGTTCACTCATTTGTTTTTACTAGAACGTGTAGCTGAGATTGAGCAAAGAATTGCGCTTATTTAAACAATGTTCAGTTAAACGCACGACAGGGGACACCGCGAATGGAATTTACACACAACACTCCTGTGAGAAGTCGAACCCGGGTCATCGAGCACGACTGTGACTGGGAACTGTCTTTGAAGAATGGTTTCATTCGTCACCACTCGCCCCTTTCCGTAACCTGCAAGCCATTCGGCTTGTCCCGGAATAACACGAGCTGTTCACGAATGCTGTGGTTTCTCATGATATAGTCGGAATCGTACAATCGACTCGGCCTTTGGCAGAGGTTTCTTATCAATACGGAAAGGATTTTGTCGATTTTACTTACCGTGCAGGCGAGTCTTGGTGATTTTATGACACTTCATTATATACTCAATTTTGACATTTCCTAATTACCAGGTAAATCATGACGACCATTTTCAGAAAATGTGATGTTTTCGAGATCGGTTAGCTAGAAGAAACTGCTAATTTAGCAGTTCCTGACAAAGTAGTAAAGGATACTTCCTGTAGATTCTTTATTGTATTACTTAGTACCAGACCCGTGAAGATCTGGGGAGGAAAAGGTCTTCAGCAAGCCCATGCTTGCTGTAAAAGGCGACCATGCTTGTCGTAAGAGGCGACTAACGGGATCAGGTGGTCAGGCTCGCTGAATTGGTTGATGCATCTCATCGATCCCAAATGCTCATGGTGTCAATCACTGGATTGTCTGTTCCAGGCTCGATTATTTACAGGCCGCCGTCATATAGCGGGAATAATGCTAAGTGCGGCGTTAAACAAAAAACAAACAATAATCGATAATCAAATGTAATTTCACTCAACAAAGAAGGTATAGAAACAGCGTATGAATACAATGTTTTAGTGGTCTGTCCAATTCATCATATAGTGCAGTCTACACAAACACGGTGAAAACCCTATCAAAGCATATCATGGGAATCGTTAGTCAATAGTTTATTGAGAAAGAAGTCATTGCATCGATGTTTGCATCGGAAACTGGACTTATAAAGTCAGTTAACACCTTTGACGCGGGAAGATGCGATGTCACTTCTTTCCCAGAGTTCCATGCGACCAGCATAGTACCTCTGCCACAGGCCAGCGCCATGTGACGATTTGTCACATCTTACAGTCCTTTCAAGGTGTTTTCGACAAGTCTATTACATGTATACACATCTAGATAAACATATGTAATAGAATGGTTAACTTTCACTGAGCAAATAGCATGAAACGTGAAAAAGTGGCTCCGCGTGCTATCTTCGAAGACTTTGGGAGAGCTAGCGATACGGTCACTTTGATGTATAAATATGTATTGTCATGCACCTCACTGTCACACTTATCTATGCAAATTATGCAAAACAATATGTAAAGCCAATATGTTCTGATTTCAGAATAAGCGCGTTTGTTTACAAAGAAAAGAAGAAGGTGCAAATGAACCTGTGGCAGTGGTTTTATGCGATGTCACCACTGCGCCGAATTGTGATGGGATGTATGGAGCTTGAAAGTAGTTCCTGCTAGGGTACCTCATTGTATATTTATCAAATCGTGTTTATCGGATTGGTTTATGGCATAGATAGTGAGTGAGTTGGGTTTTACGCCGCTTTTAACAGTATTCCAGTTATATCGCGGCGTGTCAGCTTAATGTGGGAGGAAAGCCCGGAGTGATGCAAGTCTCAGACGTTTACCACTTCGGTGGAACCCACGAGCACGGGTATGGTGCTGACAAACCTAGAAACATAATCGGGGCGAACCGGGATTCGAACCCACAATCATAGGTTTCTGGCGTGCCCAAGGGACGCAACTCGGCACAGCGAATCGCGGCGCCTTAGACGACTGGGCCACCCGTGCCCCCCTATGGCATAGATAACACTGTCCAGTATATGATAAACATATTTATTCACTAACTCAATGACATATCTATATATTCACATGTATTTTATTTGATCAATATCAAATATATTTTCTTCCCTCTGTGAGAATGAGGAAAATCACAAACCAGAGCACCATGAGGAAAGTATTTCTGTGCAACGTCCAAAGTGTTCTCCACGTCTGACAACATCCGAGGATAGAACTGTAGAACACCCCGTCCATTTTCATCAAGACAGTCGTGCAGAGACGAAAACAGCATTCCCATGTATCTGTGACAGTCAGACAGGGCGTAGATCCACTGTAACGCTGAAATACTCACAACCGTGCCAACACAACTCGCTCGAAACGGTAAATGGTAGAACATATTTAATTTCACACAATCCTGGCTGTTCAGTTTATTTTTACAAATACTTAACATAAACGTATTACTGTCTGTTCCGACAACAAAATATCCAGCCTTTTTCAAGATGGCGGAGCTAATCCCAGATCCACTACCAATGTCAAGGACGCAGGGGTTTGTTGAGAGAGGTTTTGTATGTTCAAGTAGCTCAATGGCTTTTCGTGTTAGTTCTGTCTGAATTCTGTGCATTCGTTCACTTTGAGTGTACACCGCCGATCTATCTTCGTCATAAATATCCTCAGAATAGCCTATCAGCTCAGGTCGTCTTTCAGATCCGCCACGAACTGTTCTTACTTTGAACGATTTCAAATCGTCCACTTGTTCAAAAGTATCGGGGAATTTGAAAACATTCCTTGTCGGATTTAACAAGAAATACATTCCCCTGCATAAGACACAGTTTCCGTGTACAAGTTTGACATAATGTTGATGTAAAACGAAATATCCAGTCCGTGTTTTAAGAAAAACCGGTTTAAAAGTCCACCACTTCCGCAAGTTGTACATGGTAACAAGTCTCGGATACAGTCCCCGACAAGAGACACTTGTGTTTGATCGGTAGCGTACGTTTGACTTACATTCTGGTGCACTCTATAATGTCACCGTGGCCTGTTGCGTCGTGAGTCAACTACTTCGGTGTTAGAGTACGCTTGTGCATGACGCAATATGAAGCAAGTGACTTAGTGTCTCAGATCCGCGTCTGAAATGCATGGCGTTGCTAACAGAACTTCCTTCCAATTACACCGGTTTTTCTAAAAAGATGGAATATTTATCCTAAAACGAAATAATACCTGCTGTGGGGAGCTTTCGATTTTGTTAAGATTGACAAGTATGTACAGGGTCAATTTTCTATGAGTATAAGGGTCACCTAAACTATGCAAAATAGGCTACACAAATTTGCATATCTGCCTTCAGATTTAGGTGCTTTATAACAGGGACAATGTGCACTTACATTATCTGAATGCATGCACCTGTGTAAATATTGTTTTAAGTGTTTTGTGTTCCAGATAAATATACACAATACGCCTCGTGAAAACGATTTGATTTTTCTTATAAAACCGTTCCAAATCCATGCGTAATGTATAGTTATTATACAGGATTAATTAATATTATGTATCGTTCTACATCGATGTGTAATAAATACTTGTCATGAGGTTTTATTAATGTTATGTACTTTAATCGACAATTTTTCTCATTACCGTTAAACTGTTTCGCTGAAACTACGCGTTTTAGCTGTCGTGACGCGCTGGTTGTGAGTTCGTATCCCAGACCCTAATGATTATGTGGTATTGTTTTTTCACTACCATAATTATGGTCCCGTGAAGATTCCTGGTTAGAATTGGTCTTCAGCAACCCATGCTTGTCGTAAGAGGCGACTAATCGGATCGGGTGGTCAGGCTGGCAGACTTGGTTTATGCATGCCATCGTACCCGAATTGCGTAGTTCGATGCGCGTGATTGTCAGGTCCAGACTCGATTATTTATAGACCGCCGTCATATAGATAGAATATTGATGAGTGCGGTGTTGAACAACAACCAAAACGAACAAACAATAAGTCTTAGGGAATCCCTGGCTATATATATTAGCGAGCTAATCATGTCGAACAAGGCGACTAAATGTATTTGTGGTCAGGCTCGGGGATTTGTTTGTTTGTTTGTCATCGGTGCCCAACCTTGTGGATCGTTGTTTATTATAAGATATCAATAACTTGTTTGTGTGGACATGAATATTTACAGCCCGCCGTCATATAGCTGGAATATTGCTGAGAGCGACATAAACAAGAACCGAACAATAACATAATTGTGCATGCATGGGATTGCGTCACTTGAGACTTTCCTTCGAAATTAATAATAAATATCTGACTGTAATACTCCTAAAAGTGACGTAAAACTCCGTGTTTGTGAATGCGTGTGTGTTTGTGCCTCTGTGTGCGCGTGCATGCCTGCGTGCGCGCGTGTTTGTGCCTCTGTGTGTGCGTGCGTGCGTGCTTTGGTGGGTGGATTTTTTCTGGAACAAATATTTATAAAAACGAAATCCCAGCCCCTCCTAATAGAAGGACCCTTGCTTGCTCAGACATGTGTTTCCCTCGCATTTGTTCCATGTTCTATGTAATATGTTGTGTATTACAAGCTCAGATGCAGCAGTCATCATCATTCCGCTTTATCGGCGAGTGACAATAGAAAACAAAGGATTCCATCGGTGTGTGGTGCTCGTTAAAATACATACAATAGACGACAGTAAAGAAAGAACATGCCCAGTCCCGCACTGTGCACGTGCATATCTGCATGTGTGAGTTTAGTCACTGCATGTATCGATATCGACCACAACGCTTGACCTCACCAGAGCAACCCCGACAACACATATCGTGCGCCGTTTGTCCGTACAGACAGATTTCAGGCAACTAGAGAATGTATAGCTTAAACCTTTCAACAATCTTAGATAACGAAAGGAAAAAAATGTAATCTGGCACATGCGTTATAGGTACCTTATTGACCACAAATGCCGTATTTCCTCGATTAAACGCCCGGGCGTATATTTTCTTTAAGACACTCTTCATTCTAGGCGTTTAATCGCAAAGATAATAATGGGATAGAATTTCGTGCCTAAAAATGACAAAACATTCATTTAAGATTTAATAGTGAACTTCATTCTAGCATATTTTCTACCTACATACCCCCGGAGGAAAACCCCTAAAATCTTCTAAAAGAGACAAAAGAGTACATTTATTAACGAAATAATATGAACTCAATAAAATTAACATCTATTCATTGGTAAAAATGACTTGTGACTGGGACTCTCAAAAGCGTAATCCTCACTTGACAAAACAAACATACAAACAAACTTGAAATTATCGTGCCCTTAAGGAGAACACGAATTGCTTTCGTCTAAGGCGGCACCGTTCGCTAGACGTCAGCATGCACCATATACCTGTGCTCCTGGGTTTCGCCAGAGGAGGTGAATGTCTAAGACATGCATCGCTTCTGCGTAAACAGAATTCACTTATTCACATGCGAAACAAACTTGTTATTTACCCGTGGAGATCCAGGTTACAACAGATCCCTAGCACCTCATTTCTGGTCGTATAAAAGCCAACTCGTGAGTGAGTGAGTATGGTTTTACGCCGCTTTTAGCAATATTCCGGCAATATCACGGCGGGGGACACCAGAAATGGGCTTCACACATTGTACCCATGTTGGGAATCGAACCCGGGTCTTCGGTTTGACGAGCTAAAAGCGGCGTAAAACCATACTCACTCACTCACTCACTCACTCGGTTTGACGAGCTAACGCTTTAACCACTAGGCTACCCGACCTCCCGAGCCAACTAAATTGGATATGCTGATCGGGCAGGGTGCCTTTGATTGTATATCATCATTCCTTGATGCATGGCGTGGATAGTTGCTGATGCAGGTTTTCATCACTGGCTTGCCTGTTCCAGACTCGAGTATTGACAAACCGCTGTGATATACACTAGCGGAAAGGGGTAACTGTGCTTCATAGAAAGTGGTGTAAATGTTGTGTTATTGAAAATAGCAACGTGATGTATGGTCAATGATGAATCAAAGATTAGCCCAACTGAGTTAGTATTACCGGTTCTGTTGTGTAACTTGTGGGTGGGCATTATCCTGCTACAACATGACGTTATGTCCCTGCATTTGAACAGAGGGTAGAACTTGATCTCGAAAAACTGTCGTCCCGGCATCGAAAGACCCAATACCATTATAAGTGGATTTGTTATGGAAGACATATAAGAAAATACAAGTGGGGACAAGTTTTATGAGCACCTGATAGCTAAACAATCATTATGTGCTGTTCACATTAAAACCACCCGTGTGTAAATATCATGCTCCCAACAAACGCACAAACATCCAAATTGTGCGCCGTGCATAAACATTCACGTGCAAACTGTGAATCACGACCTTAAAATTGAGGAAATGTCTCAATGAATATGCATTGAAAGATCCATTATGTAATTTGAGAATTATTTTTTTAATTACTTTTTCCCGCTATTATATACTTGGAATAATGTGGGGTTAAACAACATTCACTGACGCATTAGTGCTTTAATGAGAGAAATTTGCTTTCAACAAATGAATAAACATATAAGTATTGCTAAACCTGTCTTCCTTTTAAAGGTCTCCTAACGCATAAACCAATCAATAAAAGTGTGGCCTCAATTCATATCTCTCCAATGCCCCAACTCACCTCTCTCCAAATCCCCACATGGGGGCCTATAAGTTTGATCCCCCGCAAGGTATAATAACAGGAACCTTATTTGTATCCCCATAGAGGGCATTGCAGCACGCGCGGTAGTCGGTTTACTTGGTACGGAAGACATAGTTACATACAAAACCATAACGATGTCCACTGAATCGGATACAGACGAAATGCGGGCTATAACAGGTGTGTACAGCATCATCAGCCGTCTTTTATTCATTATCATGTACATTAGGAATATGTTCTTTTATATGTCGAACATGATACTTAAAAATCACGAATGTATTGCGTCATTAATATTCAGTCAATGTGTAAATAAGTCAGTGTGTAAAATGACTTAAGCATTTACAAAACGCGATTCACAAATAAAATCCGTCATTTTACAAATGGGCTGAAAAATCTTTCCAATTAGTTTACTATGACAACAAGGGCCAAACATTTTTATGCTGAATTTCTCCACCGATGACTGAAAATAATGGTTTTAAAAGTAAACGAAAATTAATTATATTATATTTTTGGCTTCTAATCCCAACATGATCAGTAAATTGTGATGTTTTAGGCCCTTAAGTTGAACTTTTTATAATTTTAGTCAATCTGTCAAATAAATGGACAGATGTTTCAGTCAATTTGTAAAATGACTGAAATGTTTTTTAGGCACTTTGTAAATTGCCTTAGTGAATTACATTTTACACTTTGACTTATTTTACCATATATTGTCACATACAATCGCTGTGAGCCTATAAGACTTGTGTATACGCCCTGGTATATGCCGTGAATGAAAATTCTGTCAATGTATCTTTATTACGTGTTTTGTTTATGATATGAGAAGGGTAGATACAGAAACCATATTCCGAACGGTATGAGTATATATGTGGTCTTTAGTAGAATTTTTAAAAACAAAATAAACGCCGCATTGAGCAAGCTTCAGCTATTTGTAGGCGATGTGCAAATAATCGAGTCTGGGCCAGGCAATGGGACAGTGCTTGACAACGTTGGTTTTCTTGCTTTGATATCTGCTTGCATTTAGAATTGAATTATTTTCCTGTTTGCGTGAACTTTCCTTCTTCGGATAGTCTTCACTTCTTTCTCAGTAAGTTTAAGCATAGTTGTTTCCATGCTGTTCGCAGCAGGAATTTTCACCTAGATCCTTATTCAGTAATACTTCCTGTTTCACTTTTAGATGAAACCGATGAAAACATGGCTGACGTTCAGAAGGCATTGAAAGATGAAATTAAACAACAAGGGGAAGTAGTACGGAAATTAAAGGCTGAAAAAGCAGACAAAGATAAGGTGAGGTCATAAACGCATCAGTATGGCTTTATAGGCTTGTTACCTGATCTGTCAAAATAGTGCAAAATACGAGCCGGCGTGTTCAACACGTGGGTTGTGTTCAATAATCTGTTATGACAGCGAGATAACATTACGCAGTAGTAATTGTTAGTCATACACACTTTTCCCTCTATTTTGTTAAGTATTGTGTTATTTTGTCAGTGACATGTTAGCGTGATGCGGCGTAGATATCCTTAAGTCGTCCAATTGCTTCGTGTTTCGAGTTCAGCTGCTACTTGAATGATGCAAAGACATACGTCCGTGAATGATGCAATCATGTTAATCTGGTGACTTGCTACTGTTTTAGAGCTATTGTTACGAGTGCAGAGAAGCAAATGGGTCAAAACCACACGCACAATTATTAAGTTGAATTACACAACAATCTAAAAGCAATTTAAGAGTTTATTGACACTAAGAATAATTCATTACACTAGCGCTGGCACGAGTCCAAATTTACTACCCGGGTACCCAACCCCCTATTACCCGACCCTACCCGGGTACCCACTGCAGGTCTCAAGAGTTGGGAACAAAATGTCTAATTGGGAATAGTTTAACTGTAGCCCTGGCAAAAACTGTTTAGATACATGTATGAAACCAGAGACCATATATTAGATACTTAGATATATGGTCTCCTATGAAACGATCAAATCATGCATACACTGAAATTGACTGAAGCTTTATCTTTACTCAAACATATACAAGTCAAAAGGAATGTGTGCATCATCATAAAGAAATGGGAACATTAGCAACTTGTAGTGTAACCACTGAGCTCTGGGAGTTTTTGTCATTTGACAATATGTAATGTGACTAAC